AATTAAAAGTAATCTCTATTTGTAAAATTTTACTTATTTTATTAAGTTTTAAACTTTAGTATAATGAATTTATCTTTGTACTTATTTTTATTTTAATACAATAATAATCATAATAATTSATATATTTGTAATAACTTTTTAATACCAACATTACAAAAAGGTCATTAAAAATCTCGGATATATCATAATTAGAAGTCATGACCTCAAAAAAGTTGAGAACCATTGATCTATARGACTATCTATAGAAATAATATGTTGGACTGGTGACTAGTTATTAGGACAAGTGTGCTGGGAGTTGTAAAAGTATTAAGATCCCAAAATATGGTGCCATACTCAAGAATATGGGAAACTATAGAGCAAAAAAGAACCTGAGTAGTATATACTAGTTGGAATTTAGTAGATACAATGAATCCAAGAATTCCAAATGCTTTAGATATGCTAAGGTTAAGGTCACATAGTAAGTCAAAGTAAAGCAGAAGTCTCTATCACAGATGTCACTTTCAATTTACATACCATTCGTGGAATAGATATACCTATAATTGTTTTAACTCAATAAAAAAAGAGTGTACGTCATAAACCTAAAATAATGTATAACATTAAAAGGATAGGCAAGTGAATACATTAGGAKTGCCTATATTATTAAGTACATCATATGATATTATTGAAATTAAAGTAATTTAATTTACTATTAGTAACACAGTAGATTAAAATAATTATTGTAAAATAAACATTGCATTTGAAAAAGTCATTATATATGTAATGCAGGGATTGAAACTGGTTAAAACTGCGTTTTTTTTCATTATTGAACACCAGAATCGAAACTGACACCAAAAGGTTAAAAACCCATTAATATTGTTTATAATTCTAGTTAAAATGAGNAAATCAATCACCCTGTATTATTTTAAATATAGTTGGTCATACTAACTCTTTAATTTGGCTTGGTCTACACAGAAATTATTAGACTGAAGTATATTAACGTTATTAGAGTCATTGAAACTAGGAATTTCATTAAAAGTATTAATTTTCACACTTGAGTGGTTTAAACTTTCCAACTTATCATCAGTGTCAGGATTTATTTGAATTTGTTTCATAGACATACTTGTACTCACAATCTATAAAAAAAATCAATTTAATTATGTTTAACACCAGGAATCTCTAACCTGCAGCCCACATTGTCTTTAATTGAGGTCTGCAAACACAATTTTATCATAGCATATATTTAACTTTTAAACACATTTTTTAATCATTTAAAAACTGAGTTTTATTACTAATGGCCCACAAGATTTTTTTTTAAATACGTGGCCAAAAAGGTTTTAATTACTGTCAACAAATTTTACTTATTATAAAATATAATATTACCTTATTGTTCTGATGATCATGACTAGTTGAATGAATTAATGAAACTGGAGGCTCTACAACACTAGTTGAATTATTATAACTCTCAGAAGAACCTATATTTTGAATTTTTAAATTATTGTCACTTGTTTGTTCATTTCTGATAGAATTGGTTACATTTTTCAACTTGTTTTGGTTTTCATAAAAAATGCTAAAAATTGAATCATATAACAAAATAATTAATTATAAAATAAATAAGTAAATCAATTCAATTCAAATATTATACATTTTACWACAAAATTAATTAATTTTATTAAGTCAAAAATAAAATAACAACTAAAATTAAAACATAAACTTAAACACTGGGAACTYGGCTTTGATGCATTGACGACATCGAATTTATCTCAACAATGAAATATTAAATTATTTTGAAAAGAACTATTACTTATGTATGGAAAATAATAATTTAGGTAATCATGGAATGTAAGTGACTAATATAAGTTGGATATATATATATATTTTAATTCCAGTGAATCAAAATTATGAGTAAGTACAGTATTACTTATTGTTAAAAATTATTAGAAATTTTTAAATTTCGCCTCTTCATTCTACAAAAGTACCAACTACATTCTATTTACAACCAAAACCACAGTGCATACCATTGTAAAACCAATACATTTAAAATAAAAATAAAAATGTATTATACAATTAATTAATAAATTAGTATTTTAAATTTCTTTTATTTACCGTTCCATAGCTTATCAGAAACTTAAGAGGATTATTAACATGATATTAAAATCTAAAATATGATTAAACTAGAACTCCCAATTCATACACTATCAATAGAGGTACTGTGGGCCATGTGGATTGTGTTTTGTCATACAGAATCTTACCTTGTGAGCGCTTCACTTTTTTTTTGTCAGTTTTTACTCATGAGTCAATAGACACAAGGCACTATACAGTACATATAACAAAGCACATTGTATTAAAGAAAATATCTACAGAAAACCATTACCAATTATCTATTGAAGTATCTTTTTCAAAAGACGACAGTAGATTATCTTCAACATCTGAGTTCTCAATACTGCTTAGATCACAGTCGTAAAAATCAATAACATTGTCTTCATAATCTTTGGCATAACTAGAACTTAGTTAGAAAAAATGAATAGTTAGTTAATTAGAATTTCACAAATACAAAAACAATTTATTAATTTGTAAAGTATTATATAACTATCATTTTCAACAATAGTCTAGTTCAGGC